GGGGAGGAGGGACAGAACCCTGAGGTACATTTTAAAGGAGTAAGTTTGGCTGCACTGTGAAGCAGAGAAGTCAGTTTAGGTAGGCATTCAAGAGTTCAAGTAAAAAATGGCATAGACCAGAGTGGTGGCAGTGGAGGTGGTAAAGTGACTGTGGAATGTGAGAGAAACAGAAATCAAAGATGCCACCAAAGTGTTATCCTGAACTACTGGAAGTGTGACTGGTAACTTAGTGAGTTGAGGGAGAATATCGGACATTTGGTTTTGAATACATTTGAATTGATTTTGCCTTTATATGTGTGGTGGAGATGCTCAATAGGCATTTTGCTATGCCACCTGGAGATCAGAGAAGTCAAGACTGGAGTCAAGACTGCCACACAAGTGGCATTTAGGACCCAAGACTACATTAGTCCATCTGAAGACTCAGTGTATATCTAGAAAAGAAAGTTTGAGGACTGAGTCCTCAGCCACTTTGACATTTAGAGTTGGGACAAGAGGAAGAACCAACATCAGAGAATAGAAGGAGCTTAATCCAAGAGAATGTGGGTTCAGGAAATCAAGGAAAGAAGTGTTTTGAAGCAGGGAGTGGTCAATAGTGTCAACTCGCTGACAGATGATAGGCCAAGTGGGATGAAAACTATAAACTGGCAGTCAGATTTGGCAATAGGGAGGGCACTATGATCTTAACAGGATGGTATAACTGCAAAGGTGATTAAAACAATGGATTCAAAGAGAAGGTGAGGAAGATTGGAGACAGCAGGAATGGACATCTCTTTCAAGGATTTTTGCTAAAAGGGGCGTTAGAAGTGGAAGTTGAGAGATATTACCACATGTATGGATATGCATACGGTATAAATGGTCCAGTAGAGAGGAGAAAAACTGACAATTCCAGACACAGGGGGAACAATCCTTAAAACTGAAACCCAAAAAAAGCTATACTTGTGATTCCATTGGGATAAAAGTATTGACATTTGTCTGGGGAAGTAGATTTATTCACGCTAATTTTTCTTTTTGATTTACATGCATACCAAAAAGCTGTTACACATGCATAGTTTTAAGAGAAATATTTTTAATGCAGCCATAATGGAATCACTGAAAAGTAAATGATTGAAACTACCTGTCTTTGCTTCCTCCCTCACTTCTTCATCTCTTCCTTTAAACATAGTAAACACTCCTATAGCCCTAAATTTCAGCTAAAATATTCATGCCGTGAGACAAATGATAGAGTTTCTCCTATAGTATTTTGATTTACTGAAATATTTTAGAATAAAATGACATAAAATTTGCTTTAAAATAACCTTATTGGGGAAGGAGATGAAATGAGTAGGGGAAGAGATAAAAAAAAAAAATTAGCCCTGAGTTGATAGTTGATGGAGCCTGATGATGGGCGTATGGTGACTCCTTATACCATTCTCTCTCCTTCTGTAGAGGTTAGAAAATTTCCAAATATAGTTAAAAATTAAAAGAAATCTGCCAATACCATACTTAATCCAAATAAATCCATTACATGGTAAAATTTCAGCTTATTTGTTAACAGGTGAAGGAGCTATTTGGGGGCACAGGAATTTTTCCAAATCATAATCAGTTCTTTTGCTTTCATATACAACACAAAGACTTTTCATATGCAGCACAAACTTTTTTTTTTTATCAGAAAGCATTTCAATTGCTTTAAGATAGAATTAACTTGGATGCTTATTGTACAAATATTTTGAAAGGCTGGACTTTTAAAAATGAAGCCTTGATTCTCTTAAATATCCTCTTTAGATAAGTATAAAGAAATCTAAGAACACTTGTGATGTGAAATATGTTCTGAGGTAAAATAATATTACAGTTATAAGAGAATGCTAATCTGATTGTTACTTAAAAGAATAAATAGCTGATTATGCATAGAAGGTAAAATTTTATTGCAATAATAGTTAACATTTTTTAAAAAAATAAATGGTAATTTCTGAAATTCGTCATTCTTATATTGCTCTATAAAAATTTAGTAAAAAATATTTTTAACCTTTCCAAGTGAACAAATGTAGAAACAACAGTGTTTGCTGAATTAACTCTTCAAATATTAACCACTAAGTATTCTTTAGTGTTTTCCAGTTACTCATTAACCATTTTATACTGTTATTGTTTCTCCAATTGTCGGTGATTTCCACCAGGGAAAGTTGAAAAACATTTTTCTAGATCAGAAAAATGGTCAGATTTATTAACAATATCCCCCTTGCTCACCATATATTCATTATTAAAAGTCCACTACATATTTGGGACCTATAAATCCTAATTCAAAAATTAAACCCAAAGTTATGTTGTGTGCAGTTTATGGTTCCTTATATATGGCTTTATTGTCCTCAACATTTCCTTGGTGTAAACTACTGAGCAAGGGAACAAGATTTCTTTTGTAATTGATACCTAAATTTCTATTCTGCTTTAAGCATCTAATTTGCACTGTGAAGACATATAATCTGAGACTTGTAGCTATATCATGAAAGTACAACAGTTTACGCTGATCTCTAATTTTCAGAGTTGTACTGGCTATAATTTAAATTTTTTGCATGATTTTAACTGAAATGCAAACCAGTATACATCAGGAACCTTTGTATATTGACAGCGACTGGGAAAAGGATGCCTTGTTCTGATTTCAGATAAGCATTCTCTTTTCACAACTGCAGGTGCAAGGGAACCCATTCATAGTGTTTGCTCCAAACCAATTATAGTCACTAGATGGAAATACAATGCTATTACTTGGGAACTTGACTAATCTTTACAAGCACAAAGAATATTTTTAAAGTATTGTTATTAGTAGTAAATTCTAGAGGCAAGTAGCACTTTTTTCTCTGCCTATGTACTGGGGATGAAATATACTCTGTTGACACAGTCTTGGTCATTTTAGTATTGTGTATGTGTTCACTAAATCTAGAGAAATACTTTGTCAAATAATAACCCAAGATGGAATTACACTCAGTGGAAAATCTGCTGCAATCAATGCATAGTTCCACTGAAGAGATAATTGATAATGAATGCTACTATTTCCTTTGCCTTCAAATTTCACTTATTTTGTAAAAAACATTTAAGCCAAAAAAATAACCACAAGATAGAAATTTACTCTAATTGCTCTCATTTCACATAACTGGGTAAATCTCCTGTTGAAACAAATATTAGACAACTATTAGTGCAACAAATGAGTGAACTAGCTGGATGTTTCCATGTTGAACTCTTATTTATAAGATTATGACTTGATCGTTTTTATTAGCTTCAGGCAGAAACATGGCACATCAATTCAAAGCATAAGGGAAAATTTTAATCTACAAAACAACTACAACTCTACTTCAACAGGAGAGGTCAGAGAAAGGTGCTAGCAGAATTTAAGGGCTTGATAACCAAACACAGATAAAGCAAATTTATTTTTTAATTGGCAATAATCATTGCCTTGGCAAAAATAAATATGTGGCTTATATTTAAAACCAAGAAGAACTCATCCCAAATTGATGATTACTATTATTACTTACTGTATGTTTTACTGTTTGCTAACAAGCCAGGATCGCCACCTTAAATCTGTGTGTAATTCAAAGGGGCCAACACATCTTTTCATACACTATTTGACTTGAGCTTTTCTTGTGACTTAGGGAGGGAGATCCTGTCCTCATTTGTAAAATCAGGACAATAAACATTATAAAGAAGTATCCTTTCCAAATCAAGGCAATTCTATAGAAGTGGCTTGCCTGGATTGAAAGCTGTCAATCCTGGTCTAGGTTTCTGTCTCAGGGTCTCAGTCTCAGGGGCTGATCTGACTGAAGCATCAGTCAGCTAGGACCCTATTTTTATTTTTTAAACTGAAAAAGTGGTGACTTAGAGAGTATTTTTCAATTGTGTTCAATTCCTTCAGGCTGAGAGCACTATGATAGAAGAAACTTTTATGCAGCCATCCTCTTCTTTCCTGGACTCAAAACCAGAAATCTCACTCCCATTATACCAGTGTATTCTCAGCCTTGAATCAAATGCTAGTGGTACATGCAAAAACGATGAGGGGCATCCTCAAAGATGCCTTCAAGGAGGATGCCCTTAAGGATGGAGCAGAACCCCTAAGTCGGTTTACGTAAATAGGAGCTCTCCCTCTTCCAAACTTCCATTCTCTTACTGCTTCCCCCAATCCCGGGAGCAACACACAGAGTGTCCTCGTACAGTTAGTTACTGCTGTCACTCGGGGGCGGAAATGCTTGACACCTGGCCCCCCTCAGGCCGCCTGAAAGGAGGACGCTGCCACACACCCGCCCTTCTAAAGTTCTCAGGAACTTTAGATGGAGGCTGACACTGGGTCACTTACCTGGCCGGGATGTCCCTCGTCACAGCCCAGGACCTTTGGGGAGGAGAAGAAAACAAAAGAAAACCAAACAACTTACCACTTTGGCCCAGTCCAAGAACAACTAAAAGCACCCAGGCCGCCCGGAGGAACGGGGCTGGACCCGGCCGGCAGTTTTGCAGGCAGGCAAATGCGGCAGTAAAAAAAGCCAGAGCGGAGCGGCACATAATGCAAAGCAGCCCGCACCGCGCCCGCCGCCTGGCCGCTCTCCGGGGGCGCACCTCGGGGCCCGCGGGCCAAGTGTCGCTAGGCTGTTGCCCGCAGGCCCTGCGGGCGGACCCCGCGGCTCGGAACCAGCGGTGCAGGTACGCCGGCCCGGACGCCGCTGGGCATCTCAGGGCCTCCCAGGCCCTGCCAGCACGGCGCGCCGGGTCCCGCGACCTCCGCGAGAAGCACCTCCTCTGACGGCCAATGGCCCGGGGCGGCGACGCGAGCGAAGGCTCCGCAGCCCGCTCCGGGACAAAGAAAAGGGCTTTTGTTTCTCTCCAGCCGACGGGGCTTCTGCTGCATAAATCAGCTTAGGGAACAGCCACACAGAATCAAACCCAAACAAAGCCCGAAGCCTGGGGGAAAAACCAGCCTAAAGCACTATCACTGGGTGATGCTGCCTCGGTGGGAGGGGACGCCGGCGAGGCCGAGGGGGAAAAAGTCGATGGCGCATCAATCAGCGCGAGCTTCTTCCACAGGTGGGCAGGGAGGCCAGTTCCACTTGGTTACAGCTCTGCAGCCGCGTCAGCTGAGCAGCGGGCAAAGGCAAAGCGGCAACGTCCTGGCTGGCGAGGGAGGAAGCGCGGGCTGCCAGCCGCTGGGAGACGCGGCCCCGGCAGCACCTAGAAGCCGCCGCCGGCGCCCGCGGACGCGGAGGGAGGCATGGCAGCTCCCCGCTCGGCTGGGAGTGGGGCGCACGGCCGCTAGCGCGGGAGGGGAGGCTCGGCGACGGTGCCGTAGCCCGGCCTCGCGGGGCGGGAGCTTCGTGCCCTCGTCCTTCTGGCCCCAGCGTGCCCCGCTCAGGCGTCCCGCGGCCAGAACCCGGGCAGCTGGCGCACTCCGGGGTGCACCCCCGAGGAGGCGAGAGGAGGCGAGAGGAGCGAGGCTGGCGAGGGGCGGGGGGGCAGGGGTCCCGCTCCGGGCCCGGGCGGTGGGGCGGGGGGAGGGCTCCCGAGGTGCTGAGGGCTGGGCGCGCTCGGGGCCGCGAGTTGCTAGGAAACAGCCCCACGCTACCCAGCGCCTCGCCCCGGCCGCCTGCAGGCGCAGCGGCGGCTCCGGCGGCGGCGGCGGCGGCGGCGGCGGCAGCAGCGGCGGCAGCAAGAGCTCCGAGCAGCGTGGGCGGGACATTGGTGAGGCATGAAGTCACCGCGGCCCACACTCGCTCTTTGTTTTGCTCACTCCGGCTCCTTTTCTCTCCCCCTGGGCTCTGATAGTTGTCATGCCCACCGTTCACAAGAGCTCCTGATGCGTAGCCGCGCAACAAGAATCGCTCCCCCTGTTCCCTCTCCCCCTGCTCGCCGAATCCCTACACCCCCGCGCTCCCTGGGACGGTTTGGAGATTCGCTCAGTCCTAACGGCAGCTGCGCACAAACCCCCAGCCTCTCACCCGGGCGCTCTGCGCTCCTTTGTTCCGAGACACTCACTGCCCGGCAGCTGCAGCACACGGAGTGGAGCATGGGGGCCGCTCCCCGCCCCCAACCCCCTCTGGTCCGCGGGTGCGCACTGCCGACTTTGCTTGCAGATTTAGGAGCTCACCCTTCACCCCACCCCAAGACCGGCCGGCATCTCCCCAACACTGGGAGAATGGGTCCAGTCCGCGGAGGCCGTACCCGGAGCCGCTAGCTGAAATTTCTCGCGCCTCCTTCTCCCTCGGAGTCTCAGCCCTGGGCTGGACAGCCCTGTTCTTCCCAGGGTCTGGTGGTGGCTCTGGGTTTTGCTAGTTACAGTGGGCCTTTTGACCTTAAGCGTCCGCTTTCCAATAAACGGAACAAAGAAGTTACAAAACGCGGCGCAGCAGGACAGAGAAGCTAAGGAGAGGATGAGAAAGGGCATTTCTGCCCGCTTTGGAGCTCAGAGGTTTAGGTGCAAAAAGGAAGCGGGTATCAAGCTGGGCGACTGTCGGAGAAGCGGCGCGCCTCCCTGAATCCCGTCACTACCACTCTAGGCCGAGGGAGGGAACCCAGCCCTCCGGATTGAAAACAAGGCTCGGTTTCCAATCTGAGACACAGGGTGATGGTTTTCGTTTTCCTCTAGGGGCAGGAGTGGTTCCCTGTGGTAAAGTCTGACCTCTCATTTTTCCCCTAGCAGCCTGCCCGACGTCTTTCATAGAGCACCCGCCTCTTACAGGCATTAGACCAGTCCAGCCAGGTCAAGGTGAAATATGCGGGAGTTTCCCCTCCTTCTTATTTGTTTAATAGTTTCCATCTCCATATTTGGAGTAAAAAAACAAGTAGGAGGCTTTCTTTCTCTCTCTCTTTTTCTGTTTTCTAATTGTTAATGAGTGAATGGAAAGTACCTGGTTAATAAGCCACAACATTGAAAACTCCCCCTTTTCAGGTGTGGACTACGCACTGGGACTCACAGAATTAGCTAAACAAACCAAGAACCCAGCTGGAAAATTACAAGTGCCTTAGATCTGCAAAACAGGTCCTTTTGAGAGGCCAAATGAATGCTCCAAACCTGAAAAACTGATACTTTGAAAACACAATTCACTATCATCAATGTACTCTAAATAAATAGAATTAATTTTAGTTCAGCTTCTTATTTTCTTTCTTTGGTTCCAAGTTGGAACAGCTTTTGTTTTGCTGTAGGTGATCTTAAAGGAAAGGCCTGAAAAGTGGCTGGGATGGAGATGAGGTCTTTAAATTTGAACACAAAAGGAGCTCTCAACAGTCACTCTTCAATGCGGGGACATGTATATTTTCTAGAGATTATTTCACAGTCTTAAAGAATACAGCCACTGTTGAGACAGTGTGGTACTGCAATGAAGAAAAAAAGTCAGGGCAGCCCGGGTGGCTCAGCGATTTAGTGCCTGCCTTCTGCCCAGGGTGTGATCCTGGAGACTGGGGATTGAGTCCCATGTCTGGTTCCCAGCATGGAGCCTGCTTCTCCCTCTGCATGTGTCTCTGCCTCTCTCTCTCTCTCTCTCTCTCTCTCTCTCTCTCTCTACCTCTCATGAATAAATAAAATCTTAAAAAAAAGTCAGTTCATAATCCCTATAAGGATGTGTGTGTAAGTGTACTCTACACTGTAAAGTGACTATCACATCAGAGTTTCATGATGTATTTAAAAATCTAACTCTTGATGTTGGAAATGTAAATAGTAATTATAGTATTAAGTGAAATGTAAATTAATGTAAATAATAATGGATGTAGTTTTGTGACATTGAATAGGTATACACCAATTTTTAACTCTATACATATCTTCATCTTTGACTTACCATGGGGTTATGAATTTAAAAATCCATCATAAGTTGAAAAAACTCTTTGGAAATGCATTTAATACACCTAACTTACTGAACATCATAGTTTGGCCTAGTCTACCTTAAACATGCTCAGAACATTTACATTAGCCTGCAGTTGGGCAATATCATCTAACACAAAGTCTGTTTTATAATGAGTATTGACTATCTCATGTAGTCTATTGAATACTGTATTGAAAGTGAAAAACAGAATGTTTGTATGGGAATAGAATGGTTGTAGGTGTATTGGCTGTTTACCCTTGTGAGAGCATGGCTGACTGGGAACAGTGGCTAACTGGTGCTGCCCAGTATGAGAGGTAGGTATCCTACCACACATCACTAGCCTGGGAAAAGATAAAAATTTGAATACAATTTCTATTGAACTTGTATCACTTTTGTATCTTCGTAAAGTCAGAAAATTGTGAGTCAAACCATCATTAAGTCAGGGACTGCCTGTATAGTTAGATGTCTATATACCCCATATACCAGGTCAAAACAACTGTGTAGCAAGAGGAATAAAACATTTTGTAAATCTGTTGCAGGAAACTTTTGGAGCCCTTTAAAAAGAAAGACTTCCATGTTTTGTTATATGAAACCCATGTAAATATGTATCAGGATACCAGTTTTATGGAGTTGTTGAATAATAATTACAGTGCCATTTATCACCACTTCATAGTTGTAAAGAGGTTATAATTCTGGTTATCAAAGTAAAATAAGACAATATCCCAGCTGAGACTGCGATCCTGGCAAGTTATTTATAAACAAGTACATTTTGGTCTATAAAGATAAAAGTGAATTCTCCTGAGCTCTGCAAATCATCTGCAGGGTTTTCTTTCTTTCTTTCTTTCTTTCTTTCTTTCTTTCTTTCTTTCTTTCTTTCTTTCTTTCTCTTTCTTTCTTTTCTTTCTTTCTTTCTTTCTTTCTTTCTTTCTTTCTTTCTTTCTTTCTTTCTTTCTTTCTTCTTTCCTTTTCAGGGTTTTCTTTCAGTAAATAAAATCAGAGCCCAGGGACAAAGCTTGCTTTTTTTTTCTCCAATATGTGTTATTAGTCACCACAACTTAACCTTTTTTCTATAAGAAAATATATAAGATATTGTGAAGAAATATGGCATTGTTATCTTCATCACATTACCTGAAGAATTCTAACAGAAAAAAATTTCCAGAGGATGGTTAGTTGACTAATTCTTGTTTCTATGATGTTCTGCTGTCTTGCTTTGAAATTTCTGACAGCTAATTTTTCATCATTTGTGGTAATGAGAGCAAATGAAATTCATGGATGGTCTAAAAATAACACTTTAGCTATTCATTCCAGTCTTCCTATCATCAGATTCTTTTAGTTGCTAATAAGTCATCAAATTAGATGAATTAAGTTTCTTCCCCACTCCTTTGATTTCTCTTAGCTGGCTTTCTGGCTAACTCAGTCTATGGTGAGAAATTAAGCTATAGATGGATAGAAGCAGTGAGAGAGACATATGAGAGACTGCTCCTTTCAGTGTGTGTTCAGCCTTTAACTAGATTTTGTTCAAATCATTGAATCATGATACAGTTAAGACCATATGTATGTTTTAATATTACATCTTTCTGAAGTTAGGGTCAATGTTCACAAGTTGTCTATAAGCTTGCTTCATCTACAGCTCTAAGGAGATGATGAATGATCCAGTAAGTGGGATGTATTATTGTAACCATGACTTCTAGCTTCTTCCAGTGATAAAGAACAGAAGTCCCTGGAAGGTAGTTTTCACTGAAATATTCTTCATACTGTGGACTAAAGACTGCCTACAATATAATCTTCTGTTGAGTGATTCCTTAGCTCTATTCCAGGAGATTCTGAATCACAGATCTGCTGTGGTATCCAGCAGTATTTATTATTATAAGATGCTCAAATGGTTCTTTATGTATTGCCATTTAAGAACTCCTACCATAGTAGATTCACACAGAAACTCCCCAAAGGCCTGACATAATACTTATTGACAAACTCCAGTGTCAGAAGCAAAACCAAAGAAAAATGAAATGCTGAAGCCAATGTCTCTAATCAAGGTATTCCAGGAATGATTAATTCTGTGAGATGTTAATGTTTTCAGAAACTGACTTCCATGACTAAGTTTAGGAAATGCTGATTAAAGTTAAGTAAAATCCTTTACAAAAAAAAAAAAAGTAAAATCCTTTACTGGAGGATTTTTCAGAAACATACGGGCTGCATGCAACTAGAGTCTCCAGAAGAAGACCACCTTTTCACAGAACATTTCACAGACTAATATCCAAAAGGCACACTGCTGAATGAATCCTATTTTATGAAATTGAAAACTAAGAACCAGATTGGTGAGAAGACTGACCTTACTTCTTCAAAAAAATTATTGAGCAGACAGACATAAATCAGAGCTCTCAGTCTTGTCCACTACCTCGTATCAGTGATGACTTTTGGTTTCAAGTAACAGAGTCAGACTGTGACTGCCATAAGTGAAAGGGGAAATTATTGGAAGGAAATTGGGAGCTCACAGAATCAGTAGGAGGCTGAGAGACCAGGATTGAACAAGGTCAAAAACCAAGGGAGGCATAAGCAAGGGCAGTAAGCACGCAGCAAAAACAAATACTTTTCTAATCTTCCCTTCATCTTTGTACACTTGCTGAAGATTTAAAATCCTGGCTGGGAATGTCAAGTTTTCAGAACTTTAGTCACATGACAGTCCCTTGGCTTTTTGAGGGTAGAGGGAGAGGAGGAGGAACTCTTGCCTTTGTATCACTCAGTGAAAAATATAATACTGTTTCAACAAGATGATACAAAATCACCTAGGTTGATGAAGGAAGCCTTGTAAAGTGACAGATGCTTATCACTTGCATATCCTGACTTCCACAGGCTACTGCTTTGTATTACAGTTGGATTTTGGATTTCTATAACATGCAGCAAACTAATGCTTATTTAGCCTTTAACTCATAAGAATCATTATAGAGAAATGATGACCTTTGAAGGAATTTCTTAGCTTTGTGAAGTCCTTTATTGGCCAAGTCTGGAGCAGATGCTATTGTTGACCTTTCTCTGTCCCTCTAGGCGTGCTACTTTATTCTACACAGCCAGAAGTGCTGGAGACTGAACACTCATGGACCCTGTCTCAACTGAGAACTGATCTAATGGGAACAGAGTTATAAATACTCCAGCTCCCTTGTTCCTTGTATGGAATCACTTTGGGCCTTGTGTTCTACACTAGTACTTCTCAAACTATTTTTGGATTAGTTTTTAAATTTCAAACTTTAAAAAAATAAAATAAAATGAATTACTAGAAAAATAGTTGTCATACAAATGTCAAATTGTTATAAAAGTTCTTAAGTACTAACTTACTATTTATACATGATTTATTCTGGAGCAGCCTTGAAAGGTGCAAAGACTGATACTGTCATACACCACATTCTGAGTAATATTAAATGCCATTCCCCCAGGTTCCCTTACAGATGTAAGCTGCAGTTGCCCACACTGATAACTTTATTCAAACATATTCTTCCATTGGCCACCTTCTCCCTCATTTTCCCACTGTTCCCCAGTATTTCCTTGTCTCAGGGTCTTCTTCTAGAGGAACCTAAACTGAGACAAATAATAAATAAATCTGGACACCACTCCCTGGAGTCCTCCACGGGTGATTTTGAATTTTATTCTTTTCTATTAGGCAACCTACAGAATAAAAAGTACAGGAGGTTTGGAGTCTGAAAAAACTGTGTTTGAATCTGTTACTTAGCAGCTGTAAAATCGTGGGCAGATTATTTACCTTCTCAGAGCCTCAGTTTATTCATTTATGCACAACAAAATTAAAATAACTATCAAAATTGCAAATTAAAATAATGAGCTACCACTGTACTTCTATTGGAATCACCAGAGTCCAAACACTGACAACTGGTGAGGATATGGCGTAATAGGAACCCCCATTCATTGCTGGCATGAAATGCAACATGTTACAGCCACTTTGGGAGAGTTTCATCGTTTCTTACAATACTAAACACACTCTTACATATAATCCGTCAATTGCACTCCTTGCTATTTAACCAAAGAAGTTTAAAATTTATGTCTACACAAAAACCTGCACATGGATGTATACTGCAGTTGTATTCATAATTGCCAACACTTGCAAACAATCGAAGTGTTCTTTCATAGGTGAATGGATAAATAAACTGGTATATCCAGACAGTGGAATATTATTCAGTACTAAAAAGAAATGAGCTATCAAGCCATGGAGAGATATGAAGGAAACTTAAATGTGTATTGCTAAATGAAATAAGTCAATGTGCAAAATCTACATAATATATGATTCCAACTGTATGACATTCTGGAAAGGCAGAAGTGTGGAAATCGTAAAAAGATGATTACTAAGGTAAGGGAGGAGGAAACCATAAATTGATGGAACATGGAGGATTTTTAGAGCAGTTAAGCAACTTCATATAATACTACAATGGTGGATGCATGTCATTGTACTTTTGTCAAAATCCATAGAATGAACCCTGATGTAAGCTATGGACTATGGGTGATAATGATGTGACAATGTAGGTTCAGTCCTTGTTTCAGGTGTACCACTATGATATGGAATGTTGACAGTAGGGAAGGCTAGGTGTATCAGAGTTCTAGGAGGCATATGAGAACCCTCCATATATTCCATTCAATTTTGCTGTGAACTTTAAGCTACTCAAAAAGGAAACTTTAGGGGCACCTGGGTGGCCCAGCTGGTTAAGCGCCTGACTCTTGATTTTGGCCCAGGTCATGATCTCAGGGTCATGGTCAAGCCCCACATTGGGCTCCACACTCAGTGGAGAATCTGCTTGAGAATCTCTCCCTGTCCCTTTGCCCCTCCCCTCATTCTTTCTTTCTTTCAAATAAAGAATAATTTATTTAAAAAAGTAAAGTTTATATTACACACATACACACACACACACACACACACACACCTACCAAATAAGATTATTGTGAGACTCAATGGAGAGATCATGCATGAAACACATTTAGAATTCACCATATATGCTCCAAACAGTTTTCACAATGGCAATTTAGATTAAATTTCATAATATTAACAACATTGAAAATACATACTTATTTCAAGACTTGCATATTGTCATAAAATAAAAATATCATGAAATATCTGTGGTTTTGATTAATACATAACTTTCCTGGTAACTATACAATTATTTACCCATATTAGTAGATGTAGCAAGCATGACTTAGTATAGATACCTATAATCCATTCTTTATAATGGTCCAATTTTATGTCTCCTTAATCAAACAAAATTGTTCCACAATCTTTTCAGCCTGAAGTCATCCTTGTGCAGTTTGACATAAAAATATATGAAAGCTTCACTTATTTGTACATGACAGGGACTTAATACTGCCCTTTTAAATTTTTTCTTCTTTTTTTCTCTTCTTTTTCAAAGATTTTATTTATTCATTCACGAGAGACACAGAGAGAAGGCAGAGACAGAGGCAGAGGGAGAAGCAGGCTCCCTGCAGGGAGCCCGGCATGGGACTCGATCCCAGAACTCCGGGATCATGCCCTGAGCCAAAGGCAGAGGCTCAACCGCTGAGCCACCTAGGCGTCCCAATACTGCCTTTTATTTAAAGCCCAACATGTTTAAACTTATATGTAGTCGGGGGTAATATGAATATGTAGTATATTTTAAATGTTATTGCTTTATTGCTCAGTACTCTAAATGGATAGCAAAGTTAAGGGCCCACAGCTGGTTTTCCCAAATAGAGGTATCAGCAGTTATTAAAAAGACAACATTTCACCATTGACATAGTTCATTTGTTGAGCCAGAATGGTATGTGGACTGATTTGCACATCATTACACAGCTAAAGGCCTTTCTGAACTTCAATAATTCAGAGTGAGCCCACTACTAAAATTTTCCCTCTCAGCATTTTCTCATGATCACATAGCCTCTGGAGAATGAAGTCACTACACAATTTAAATTATTCTAATCAGATTCACATGGCATTTTTATACTTGGAATGCTTCCATTCTCAACCCCTTTCTCCAATTTCAAAATTACTTCATGTTTCACCTTGAAGAATGTGACCTTTTAACATAGTGAGGAAATTCTTTGTAAATTAGGCACAGGATATTCAATTTCAACATTCATTTAATAAATACGTAAATATTTATTGAACATTTGCTATGTGTAAAGTGATAGATCCTATGGAAAATATAAGCATCAGTAAAATCTAGTCCTCTTCTCAAAAGTATTTAATCTGACTTAGAAATAATATGTGATTAAAAAAAAGATGACTGAGTTAGTAAGTAGAATAGATCAGAAGTAGACTCTAACATCAATAATAATTTAATATAACACAAAATGTGCTTTAAAAATTGATGGAGAGGGCATAAATATTTTAACAAATAGTATTGGGATAATTGTTAGCTATTTGGAAAAAAGCAATATTAATTTAGAAAGTTACTATATACCCAAATACAGTCATGATAAAGGGCTTAAGTGTAAAACTACAAGACTATACATATCTTTTTTTTCTGATACTGGCAGTAAAATTTCTTTCTGAAATGCAAATATTATTTATCTAATTCCAGAAGAACAAACTAACAAGTTTGATGATGATTTCTTGAAAACTTAGGTGTTTATACATACTTAAGAAGAGGTATAAATACATACCATAGAATGTGTACATACAAATTAATAAGAAAACATTTAGTCTACAGTAGATTAATGTGCAACACTAATTTCATGTCTGGGAAGTTAGTCCTCTAAAGATTCAGAAATATAAGAAAATTGTTTATAAAGATGCACATTTCAGTATGATACGCAATAAAAAAAATGCAAATGATATTTTTGGTCATTTGAACCTTCAAGCTAACGTAGCAGAGAAGATTATCAAGGTTTTTTTTAAATTTTATTTATTTTAGAGAGAGAGAGTGAGAGAGAAAGAGCACAAATAGGGGGAGCAGCAGAGGGAGAAGGAGAAGCAGACTCCCTGCTGAGCAGGGAGCCTGATATAAGACTTGATCCCAGGAACCTAGGATCACAGTTCAAGCTGAAAGGCAGACACTTAACCAACTGAGTCACCCAGGCACCCCAGAAGATTATCAACTTTTTAAGTGTGCCCTAGATAATATTATTCTCTCTTTGAGATGTATGCTGCATAATCCTGTCTTTCATTAGTTAACAAATTATATTTAATCCCATTATAATGATATGTTCGCCATCTTTTCCTTCATTTTTTTTTCTTCATCTTTTCCTTCCTATTTAATGTCCTTACTGCTGCCTTAATCCTTCTTTTGAACTCCCAGCCATCTCATCCCATGCTATGGAAGCTTTCCTTCTGAAACACAAATCTAAACCTGTTATTCTTTCTTAGATCTTTCTATGGTTCATCTTATGCTATTCCCCAAACTTTCTCTAAGCCATGAAAGAGAACTTTAGTGAGCATCAACTATGAAACCTTGAATATTATGGCCCTAAATCACAATTCCTGGTACCATTTTGTATGACATCTCCCTTGACTACCCTATGCTCTACAGAAGAGGATCTTGATTTTCTATAAGCACTTTCACTTGCCTTTTCACAGGCTTCAACATCAGCTGGATATGTTTTCCTTACCTGCTTTTCCTTTCCATTTTTTCCACTTGATTGTTAAGAATAATTTCTGTTACCATTTCTACCAAGTCTTTCAGGATTTTTCTTGGTATAATCTACAATATCTTTCACTTCTAAGTAATCTTTAAATAAAATAAAAAGTAATATATTTTTATTATAGAAAATTTGAAGAATATATTACATTTTCATGGTGAATTTTATTTGCCTTTTTTATGTAACTTTGTTCAGACTGGGTCTACCATTTTGTTTTTAATATGCATTCTTCATGAACATATTTCTATGTTATATATTATTCCCTAGTGAGTTTGTTATTCAGTTTACTTAAATATGCTCCTTGACTCCACCAGATTTTTGGCAGTGAAACAGTTTACTCAAACTGGGTATTTTGAGGAGAATTTGTTAATAAGTTTGTGATAATTTGTAAATAAAAATAATTGTTTATAAACATGAGGGTAGAGTGTCAGTGTTAATGCTGTATTCTTGAATTAGAAACAGTGGGGAGATGCATCACTATGCTCAGGCTTGAAAGAGTAGAATAAGAGTGTATTATTAAACCCCAGAGGTATTA